ATATATATATTCATACATTTTAATTAACTTATTATAGTATAAGTATAAGTATTGTAGTACAATACAGTCAAACACATATTATTCTGTATTCCAATAATTTACTTATTCTCTTATACTCACCCAGCCAGCATATGAATGCTTTTGCCACCAGAGCCGTGTTCCTCAGGTCCCACACATAAGGGTAAAGGTCATAGAGCACAGCCCTGTTGGCCCCCCCCCACCACGCTGCAGTGGAGCTGTGCGATGTCTTCACACAGGGACAGGACCCTGGAGGAGCGGCCACGCCACTCGTCGATCTGAGGACGCACATACAAAGTACAAAACCCCCTCACATTTATGAATCATGCACTACACAATTCAAAATATTCCCAAACACTAAAGTCTACACAAAACAGACACCGACCTTCTGAGGCGGTGTCTTCTTGCTGTTAGCGCTGACCAGGTGGCAGTTTGCTTTCAGCCAGTTCAGGTCCTGCAGCAGTTTCTGGGCAGACGGGCCATGCTCATGGGGCAGATAATACAGACCAACCAGCAGCCGCACCTGGGACTCACTTAGTAGGGCCTTCCCACCACAGAGCCCCCAACCCTGGGCCTTCGGTCCCCTGCCTCCGCCAGAGGGTGCGCCAGGCCTGGATCCTTGAGTTTGGTGATTGGGTTGACCCGGCTGGTTTGACCTCTTCCTTTCCCCCTCTCCTCCCACCGTCTCCCCCTTGACTGGTGACGACGGAGGTGAACTGGAGTTCAGGGGGAAAACGGGGAGCTTGGCAATGGCAGATGGTCCTCTAAGGGTGGAAGGGCAGTCGGATCTGTCCGGAGTTTTGCAGCGAGTTGCTGAAGCGGAGGAACGCTGGTCGGCCCGTGTGCTCTGCCGACCTGTAATGATAAAAGACATTTTAATATGTGGCAACCTTCAAAAATTCAGTTTGTGGTCAACAGTGCTGAAACATTGCAGTTAAGCTACAAAAGGGGTCATGACGGTGACTGAGCAGGTACATTATTTGTGACACAGCACCACATCATAGTGTTTTACCTGCTTGTAGTGGTTGGTTGAGTTCCTCCATCCAATCATGTAGTGCATCAGACAGAGCTCTATCAGGACAGTATTCACACTCCTCATCTAGAGCATAAATAGCATTGTGTTATTATATGAGGATACTAAATTACTCATGTTCACACAGTAAAGAAAACCACTCTTATATTCCTTTGCACTATCAGTCTGTGATGTTCATTACGTTCCAGTTGGACGGATTTCAGTGGAAAAACCTCCCCAGACACACACATACCACACATACCTCTCCTTTATCTGAAAATACACAACGTATCTTGCTGGTCTGTACTTCCTGTTTTTAGATCATTTCAGTCAAATTTGGACAGCACTACAAATCATAAAGTTCAATACCTCTCACTCAAAAAGTAATTACTTCACACTACCCCCCCCCACTCTCATGCAATCATTAAAATCCCTCTTCCAGTTCCATCCACATCGCAGGCTGCTCTTCCTCTCTCTTCCTCTATTTGTCCTCCAGCCCTACGCCTTGTTTCTCCTTCCTCGCCTCTCATTTCTTCCTTCATCGCACTGCACAATTATTCCTCCATCACTGCCTCTCCACGCTCGTTTCTAGAACAATGTCACACTCGACGGTGGTTTTCTTCATCCAACTCCCTCGTGTGCTCTTTCTTTCTATGGTGGAATTCTCATGCATTTGACTCCGACAGTAAAATCTAGTGCAAATGTGAACCAGACATCCATTACGGTGGTGCAAGGGCTGTTACAGCTCCACTTATCCTAAAGAACACAAGGTGTCACAGTATACTTCAAATGTAAAGCAATTGTGCAACTCAGTGTTAAGGGAAATATTTTTATTCTGTGACTAAAACTGCTTATTGAGTAACTTTGTCCAGGACAACAGATGCCGTAATATCAGACAAAATTGTGTTAGTTGCCAAGCAACACTGGCTCGTTACACAGGAAGCAATGGGACTAACTGTACATGGCTCTGATCTGGCAGAGCCAATATTAGTTTATGAACTTGGGACATCTCCTGTCTCATTACTGCTACTTCCTCCTCCCTTCCATCTGCTCATTAAGCCTTTCTGCCCCATCGTTGCATCCCTCTCACCTTTCCTCTCCTCTTTCCCAGCTCTGTACCAGCTCCCCAGCGAATGGAGAGGGATGTAATTG